GGGATCATTAAATTAAGAACTTAAGTTCTGGTACAATGTAAATTATACAATGAGCTTGGTAGGACCCGTAATCTAGAAGCAAACCCCCTTCCCTCCTTCCCTCCCTCCCTCCCTCCTTCCCTCCCTCCCCCCCGCCTCTGCTTTAACATTATTTAGAATCAGCATTACAGAGTAATACAACAGGACAGAAATCAATCTAGTCTAATGGTGGGGACTCCTACTGGGTATGAGGAGGAGAAAAAGAAGTTTAGAGACCTGTAAAACCAATTAGAATGTATGGTTCTGGGCTAGGTGTAATAGCAAAGCAGTGAATATACTGTTTATTGTGAAGTCTTCCAGTCTACTGACCCAAATGTTAAACGGAACTAAAAGAAAACATACAGGCATCTTGAAATATTGACCAGGACCCACAACCAGGGCTGAATTAGTAATATTTCATAACTGGTATGACAGTCATTAATCAAGCTGGCATATTAGTTTTCAAGGCCCATGACAACAAATTACTTCAAACATGATCGACTGAAAAATAGAAATTAATTCTCCCATCATTCTAGAAGATAGTAGAAGTCCAAAAGATGTTTTCAGGGCCATGTTCACTCTAAAGGCTCTGGGAAAGTATCTTTTGCCTGTTCCTAGCTTTTGATGGTTCCCAATAATCCTGTAATTCCTTGGTTTGTAGCTGCTTCACTCTACTCTCTGCTTCCATCATTACATGGCATCCTTTCCTATGTATTTCTTCTGCATCCTCCTCTTTTCTTACAAGAGTACCAATCATTGAATCTAGGGCCCTAATCCAGTATGACTTCATCTTAACTAATTGCATTTGCAAAGGCTCTTTTTCCAAATAATGTCAAATTCTGAGACTGTGGGTAGATCTGAATTTTTCAGGAATGCCATTCAACCTACTACAAACGGACAAAGCAATAGCATTAGAAGAGTTTCTCGAGTTCCTCTGTTGTGCCAAGCTATGCTAGGTGTTTGCTGGGAAAGTCACAGGGGAGGGGCATGGGCTTCCATGAGGTTGTGGGGGCAGTCTAGGGAAAGAGACTTGGGCTGCATTTCATGTAAGATTGGGAGGGGATGTAGGATAGCAACCATTTGCCAATAGTAATTGGAGTTGTTCAACATTTTAATAATTCATAGCTGTACATAAGCTTCAAGCTTACTTTCATACCTATGGAGTCCCAGAAATGCTGGAGATCCATTGGATGCCCCGGAGGTCCAACACTGATGCTTAAAACAGCCCCTTGCCCTTCAATGACAGTAGCATCTTGCACCTGTGCTCTACAGTAGGCTTAAGAGGTATAGGTAGCAGAAAATAATTTCTTAGTTACTCACTTGGTGGGAGACAGAGATTTTTGTTCTGTTTGGAGATGTGGAGAGGTGTTGAAGTAATGAAATGTAGGACTGATATAGAGCAAAGTGGACCTAGTTTCAGTAAACCATTCTAAATTTCAGGGAATAGAATATGGCAAACATTACTTCTCATTTCAGTTATTAGAGCCAGTCAAGGAAAGGAAAAATGATGCCAAGACTCGCCCTCTGATAATCAGGAGACCATGCTTTAACAAGAACAAGAAGTAGTTCCAGGACGGATGAACAGTGATCATGGCAGTTGAGAGGTTGAATAGCATCTCCACAGGAGAGGTTGGAGCTACTTTAAAATCCCTTCAAAAACTGGTTGCCTGGATGAATGAGTCTTACCTTCATCAGTTATTATGAAAGCCCAAGACACTTAAAACCCTCTGGAAGTACCAAAATTCTCCAGGGTAGATCTATGTCAGATAACCCATGACTTTCATTTCTCTCTTCTTAGGACTCTGGGAAGGGGAGAGGGTGAAAATGCCAGAAGTTTAGAGTTAACAGATACATAGAGGGGAAGAAAGTTATTATTATGTGAATATCCTTCTGGGGAAAATCTATGTGTCTTATTTTCATTATGCAATGCTAAAAAGGAATTTCTTGAGGGGAAATGTGGTTTTCAGGGAGGTAGATATACCTGTACTGGAGGTCTAAATCCCAAAGCCATGCTGTGAATTTTAGTACTAATTAAATAAATCCAACCTTTGAAAATTAATCACTTAGGACTCACAGCAGCTTGATGTTACCAAGCAGCACAATGTACTTCACCAAAATCAGTGCACCAGCATCTATGGAAAGAGGCTTGGCTACAAGAATTCAATGTCTTCTTCTCAAGGATAAAAACAGCTGCTTTTCTTTTTAAAATATTGCAGCTTTGACTTGGGGTTTTCCTGACACTTGAGGGGGATGAAGAGAAACGAGCTCATAACATTTTCTTTCTCCATGAGTGTGTGTGGGTTGAATTCAATGCAGGAAATTCCAAGGATAAAATTGAATGAGCTCTGACCTAGAGACAGAAAGGATAATTGCATTTTTTCTGATATTAAAAACATTGAAACTGTGTAAGAAAGGAAAACATGGACAGAGAAGGTATACTGTCAGGCAGTTGCAATAAAACTTGCCGCCAGTCCCATGGGGAGCTTGGAGTTGGGGAGGCAGAGTTGTTCCAAGGGGGACAGAAGGGGAGCAGTACTTTGTCCTCTCCAATGAATGGTCACTAGCCCTCAAGAAGCAGCATAATCCTGATTGGACGACTCTCTTAAGAGTTACCTCTCCAGGAACAACACTCTGCCTCCAAATCTCATGGTTTCCCACTTTCCTACCCTTGTTTCTCACCTCTATCCACCTTCTGACTACCCTCACACACACACTTCAGTAAATGTATCAGCATCTGATTAATGGTTTTCCAACTCTTGCTTTCTGGCTATAAAAGTCCCCATGCCCCCATCATTTAGCCAATAAAAAGAGATAACGTCAAGGGTTTCTCAAATCATGGTGGGGGCATGGGAGGATAAGAAAAACTGGGTGTAGGGGCAGGGGCAATGCCAATTAGCATTTTTAAAAAGTATTTCACCACTTGTATCTGTTATCAACAAACTTGATCCCATGACATCCTAAAGGAATCCTCTCAAAAGATCCTTGTACCCATAATTCTGTCCTGAGAGAGAAATAAGTCACAGACTCAGGCCCTAGTGATCTTTCGGTATAAGGAGGCACTAAATTTTTTAAGAAATGTAACAATAATAGATAAAGGGTTTTTTTTTTCCTGTTTATTTCACACCAGAGAGGATAGATTTAGGAGCCATTAACTCTGGAGTTCATTCATAGAAGTCTTAAATGAGCACAGGATAGTTGAGGTGGGCATGCTAGCTATGTCTCTCCACTAAAGGTCTCAGCTCCTATGAGAGGAATCTCTCCTTATAGCCTAAGTGTCCCTAAGTATTCATAAATTCTCCCTCCTATCTCATTTCAAGCTCATGAATACCATTCCTAGTGGCCACAAACACCATGTGCTACCTTTTGGCTTTTTCTAAATTTGCCCACATATTTGTATGTAATATCTGTATTAAATTCTCATCGAATTTCACAATTCCAATGCAACTGATCCATTCTTCCCAAACTCCCAGAACCAATTAGAAACCTGTTCTCCCACTCAACATAGCGAGGCCGGCGCCGTGGCTCAATAGGCTAATCCTCTGCCTAGCGGCGCCAGCACACCGGGTTCTAGTCCCGGTCGGGGCGCCGGATTCTGTCCTGGTTGCCCCTCTTCCAGGCCAGCTCTCTGCTGTGGCCTGGGAAGGCAGTGGAGGATGGCCCAAGTGCTTGGGCCCTGCACCCCATGGGAGACCAGGATAAGCACCTGGCTCCTGCCTTCGGATCAGTGCAGTGCACCGGCTGCAGCGTGCTGGCCGTGCCGGCCATTGAAGGGTGAACAATGGCAAAAGGCAAAAGGAAGACCTTTCTCTCTCTCTCTCTCTCTCTCTCTCTCTCACTGTCCACTCTGCCTGTCAAAAAAAAAAAAAAAGTAGTGGACTCTATAAGCGAGGACTACACCTATCTTTCATTGGCCATGTTTGTTACTATTCACCTGAGCATCTGACCATTACTGGGCTAAACAAGGTAAATGTCAACACTTTTGCTGAGAATAATAAAACAAAGATGTTCACTATTTGCTGCTGGATGAAAATCACAAAGACCTAAAACTTGAAGATGCTGGTAGATATCTTGCAACTACAAGGGCATGCCAGAAAATAGAACCAATACCTGGGAAGTAAAATAGAAAAGTATATACAAATGTAATAGGGAGAAAAAAATGACCACTAGAGATCTACTTGTCCTAATCTCCCAAATCTATGATTGATAAGGTTTCATGCAATGGGTAATTAACATTGCTAATCAGCTGACTTGAGATGGGGAAATTTATCTAGATTATCTGGGTGGGCCCAATGTGGTCTGAAGGGTCCTCTGTAAGTGAAGAGGGAGAAAAGAAGGATTAGGAAGATGAAGAGAAAAATCAGTTCCACATTATAGGCTTTGAAGATAGAGAAATGGGGCCTAAGGTCCAGGCTTGAAGGTAACCTTCAGGAGTGGGGAATGTCTAACCCACATGCCATACAAGGCCTGTAAAATCATTTGGTCTGGCCCTGCCAAGGCATCTGCAGGTGAGATTCGAAAGTGAATAAAATCTATAGCAGGCTAATTTTTAAGCTGATACTTTTGTATGGCTTGAAAATAATGTTATAAATGTCCAAATGGCCCTTGGCAGAAAAAAAGGTTCCCCACCCCTGCAAAGGAAAGCAAAACAAATTCTCAGAGTCTTCAGAAGGAACACAATCCTGCTGACATCTTGGTTTTAGTCCAATAAGACCCTTTTCAGATTTGTGAGCTCCAGAATCTTAAGAGAATACATCTTGACTATTTTAACTCAGTGGAATTTTTGGTAATTTGTTACAGCAGTTAAGAAATTAAAACTGATTAGGATCAACTTTGCTTGATATCACTAAACTATAAGAATCTTAATACACTAAAAAATCACATAATGTATGGGTAACAAATGAACTTCCTACTGATGGGTATCTTCTCACTGATCATGCTTCCCCATGATGCACTTTCAAAATTATGGCTAAACAAGGTTTTACCTGAATGACGGAAGAAGTGATCCATTGTAGAACAGTAGCAGGAATATTGAGAATGTGAGGAGCTTACTGTGTGGAAAAAGAGAGATGCAAAAATATATCCAAAAGCAAAGACAAGTAATAAGAATTTGGAAAAAGGATATATGAGGGATGTTACAAATCATCTTGGATAATATGAGTATTACATGCCATTTTAGAATAATATAATGACTATTAATATAAGTATTAATGTTGATTAATTTTCTTACCAATATAATTAGAATCATTTTTGTAGGACAGCTATCACTCTATCTCACTGATGAGCACATGGAAGATTAGAGGGGTTATGCAACTTGTCCAAGTGTATGGACCGTTAATGAGTGACACCTTAGATTCAAGTATAGCCTCCCTGGCTCCCAAGTCTGTGGACTTAACCATTGGGTTACATACTGGCTATATCAGCAAAACTCACCAAACTTCAAACTTCCAACTATCAAATCTTCACTTGCACACAGAGTTCATTGATAATTGTGTTTTCCATATTTTGTCTGCTAGGTTGATTAAAGAAGTGCATACGTGTTATTGAAAGAAACTTTGACTGAAGGGTTTGACCTCTTTCTTTCCTGGCCAGTTTTGTTCTTTAGGCTGTGTGGCCTTGAACATGTCATTTCATTTACCTGGATTTCAATATAGCATCCTTTCAAGGTTACTCACTCTGACATTCTTTCAAGCTTCTGTATCCTTCATATTTTTTGATATAGCAAAGCAGAGGAACTTGAACTCTGGGATGAAGTATTTATACTTCAGGGTAGGTGACAGGGGACAGGATCACAAACAGGGACATGAAAAACTGTCTGAAATTAATTATTCAACAATTGGGTATAAATATGAACGGGTAGATGCCAGAGACTTTAATTCACTGAAATAATAATGTGGAACAAAGAAAACTGTTGTAGCACCTCTGTATACCTGGAGGCTCTCCCTTCCCACTTGGACTACAATGCTTTGACGTGTGCTAAGGGACTGTGAGTCTCTGGGAAAGGTTTCATGTTGAAATTTTGGCCTTTAGCCACCGGGGAAGAAAGACAAAGCTGGCATTGGCACTACCTGTTGGCAGCCAGGAGCAGCTCTCAGGTTGAGGAGTGAGTCACAGGCTAGGTGGAGAAGGCATAGAAAGTAGAGGGTGCAAGGGTAGATTCCTGGGAGCTGTGAACAAAGACACCAAGGCAGGAAGCCAAGAGTATCACTCCTACTCGTGAGGGAATTGCAGGGAGAGAGTAACAGCATGGCAAGCGTTCTCCGGGCTGTGGCTTCTAAGCCAAACTCTTCTTCTGTTTCACAGTTGAGAATAAATACAATCCTGAAAATAGTCCAAGGAAATAAAAAGCTTGGACAAATGGGAAGATTTGTGACTGTCCTTATTACTCTGCTTTTGTCTTCACTATAATCAGTGCTCCATGGCCTCTTCATGCCTCTAATAAGTGGACTTGCTGTGAACACACAAAACCATGAATCTAGTCCAATAAATCTGAGGGGCTGCTTGATACCTCATCACAACCACCTTCTGCTAATTAATGTGAACATCTGTGAAGAAACACTGAAACACTTGTAGAGGAAAAAGAAGTAGCAAAGGGATGGGAGGAAAATTTGAGCTTATGTTTAAGTCACCAGCCAAGTATAATGAAATGCAAAATCATGTTAGTAGTAAGGACATATAAGAAGCAGTGGATTTGGGAGTAAAATGCCATAGTGGGGCAATTATCACCTATTTTCCATCAAGAAGTTCCAAGTTCACCAATTGAAGGTGTGCTGGATAAGCTGCCCTCTCACATTCACAAAGTGGAGATACTTACAAATTGGCCATTTCTGCAAGTGAACAAATCACAGACAGAAGGAGTCAACAAATATTTACCAAGTCCCTACCCACCTGGTGCATGGCACTGTATTGGGACTGAGGGTCATTACAAAGACACAAAATGACTTGTTTCTAGAACCCAAAGGATTTAAAACTATTGGAAACAGATCTAAGCTTTCCCTAAGGAGTTCACATGTGACTGCTCTAAGGGCACATACACAAATCAGGTCATTATTCCTTTTGTTCCTACTACAAGGAACATTTGAATTCATCTTTGTTGTCAGAGCCATAGCCTACAGATCTGTTTTAATTTCTCTACCTCACACCCTGCCTTGATGTTCTAATCTACCTATGCCTTTCTGGAATCTACATTTCATCTCCAACCAAGAGAATAGAAAAATAATTCTAAATAAGGAGTGGGAGTGCTGAGATGTACTCCTTTTTTAAAGATTTATTTATGGGGCCAGTGCTGTAGCGCAGTGGGTTAATATCCTGGCCTGAAGCGCTAGCATACCATATGGGCGCCGGTTCAAGACCTGGCTGCTCCACTTCCAGTCCGGCTCTCTGCTATGGCCTGGGATAGCAGTAGAAGATGGCCTAAGTCCTTGGGCCCCCGCACCCACGTGGGAGACCCGGAAGAAGATCCTGGCTCCTGGCTTCAGATCGGCGTAGCTCCAGCCGTTGCGGCCAATTGGGGAGTGAATCAGCAGATGGAAGACCTCTCTCTCTCTCTCTCTCTGTCTGCATAACTCTGACTTTTTAAAAGATTTATTTATTTATTTGAAAGTCAGAGTTACAGAGAGAGAGAGAGAAACAGAAAGAGAGAGAGAGATCTCCCTTCTGCTGGTTGACTCCCGAGATGGTTGCAACAGTCAGGGCTAGGACAGGCTGAAGCCAGGAGTTTCATCTGGGTCTCCCACATGGATGGCCAGGACCTAAACATTTGGGCCATCTTCCTCTACTCTTCCCAGGCCTTTAGCAGGGAGCTGGAAATGGAGCAGCTAGAACGTGAATTAGCACCCATTGTAGGTTGCCAACATTTCAGGCAGCAGCTTTACCCACTACACCATAACACCAAACTTTTTTTTTAACTTTTATTTAATGAATATAGATTTCCAAAGTACAGCTTATGGACTACATTGGCTTCCCCCACCCCCACCCCTGGTGACTTCCCTCGCACCCGCAATCCTCCCCTTTCCCATTCTCTCTTCCCTTCAATTCATATCAATATTCATTTTCAATTTTCTATTTATACAGAAGATCAGTTTAGTATACATTAAGTAAAGATTTCAACAGTTTGCACCCACATAGAAACACAAAGTGAAATATACTGTTTGAGTACCCGTTATAGCATTAAATCTCAATGTACAGCACATTAAGGACAGAGATCCTACATGAGGAGTAAGTGCACAGTGACTCCTGTTGTTGACTTAACAAATTGACACTCCTGTTTATGGCATCAGTAATCTCCCTATGCTCCAGTCATGAGTTTCCAAGGCTATGGAAGCCTTTTGAGTTCTCCGACTCTTATCTTATTTAGACAAGGACATAGACAAAGTGGAGGTTCTCTCCTCCCTTCAGAGAAAAGTACCTCCTTCTTTGAAGACCTGTTCTTTCCACTGGGATCTCACTCACAGAGATCTTTCATTTAGGTGGGTTTTTTTTGTTTGTTTTTTGTTTTTTGTTTTGTTTTGTTTTTGTGCCTGAGTGTCTTGGCTTTCCATGCCTGAAATACTCTCATGGGCTTTTCAGCCGGATCCGAATGCCTTTAGGGCTGATTCTGAGGCCAGAGGCCAGAGTGCTGTTTAGGACATCTGCCATTCTATGAGTCTGCTGCATAACACCAAACTTAACACATGTTCTTACAGGCAGAAAGGTACAGATGCTACAACAGAGGTTGAAATCAGGGAAGGGGTGGGATTCAGACAAGAAAAATACCCATTTTATCTGGATAGAAGCAGGGATAGCTTTTAGAGTAGGTGACCTTTAGAATGTGAGTTCCAAATTCAGATACCTAGAGGGGCCTGGCAAGAAATGAAAGTAAGTGGGCAGAGACAAGACCAGGTAAATGGTAGACTTCATGGATGCTCCAAAGGGGATGGTCCCTTTGTAACTCAAGCTTTTAATGCACAAATGGCCTTCATACAGTACTGTGTTCTTTAAATCACTTATAAGATACAGAATCACTATTTAAACAGAACTTGCATCTATGCATAATCTCTGCTTAAAAGAATAATACATATATGTCCCTATGTGCTATTTCACCAAAGTAATATTATTTATTACATTGCAACATATTTCTAATTATAGATGGTAGGGTTGGGAGAGTCACTTCCATAGATATATTTCCAAAGCGATCGATTTATTTTTTAAAAAGTCTTTCAATTGTACATATAAAGAGACATGTTCTGAAAGACAGAAAGGTAAAAGTGCCACAATAGAGGTTCATGTTAAAAGAGGAGTGGGATTTAGACAAGAAAACATGCTTATCTCATTTGAATGGAACAGTACAGTGTGATAATTTGATACTGTGTTGGTCACATCAGGTTACCTAGGATTTCTATCTCCTCCAACATTTGTTTTAAAAATATTTTGTTGAAACTCAACAATTGCACCTATCTATGGGGTACAGTGTGACATTTCAACAAATGTACACAATGTGTATTGATCAAATTTACACAATCAACTTTCTTCCTCTCCATGATCCCTCTCTTTGGAGCCTTCAAACTCCTCTCTTTTGTTTGTTCATAAAATACTCAGCACTCTGGGCAGTTTAACATTAGAACTTTTTCCTTCCATCTAACCATGTTTTGGTACCCATTTTGCAATCTTCCTCTACCCACCTCCTTCTGCCTTTCCCAACCTCTAGTAACACTACTATGCATTCAGATTTTCCTTGAGAGAAACAGGGAGTTTGGGTCCCAGTGAATTAAAGTACATTTGATGCTATTCTGTTAAATGCTCTGTCACTGAACTACAGCTAAGGCAAGGTATCTCGTGAAGAAATACAACATAGTTTACTTTGAATGAGTGGATGTCATTTGCCTTAGCAGTTGACCACCAGGACCTCTTAGTGTTTTAATCAAGACTGAATGTTAATGAACCAGAAATGTATCAAATCCAGGCCATCATCAGAGAATCTCTAACAAAAAGTATTCAAAAACAGACAAAAGAAAGAAAAGAGGGGCCTCAAAAGAGTATGGTTGACTTTCAACAATATCGTGGGATAAATCAA